AAATCCCTCTTTCCCCCCCCCCCCCCCCCCAAGCTGTCTCTTTTCTAACCCCTAAAATCATCTTGGTAGCCCTCCTCTGTGCTTTCTCCAGTTCCACAGTGTTCTTTTGGAGATACGGTGACCAGAACTGTGCACAGTATCCCAAAGGAGGGCGCACCATACATCTACACAGGGGGCGCTACAATATTGGCTGTTCTGGTCTCAGTCCCTTTCGGAATAACTCCTAAGAGAGAGTTTATTCCTTCCCTACCCTGCCCTAGGTCTATGACTTTTCCTCCACCCCAGTGGGTGGTGCGCGTTATGAGACTGGCGTGAGAAAAGCCTTGGGAAGGGAGAGAGTCTTTGCCGCTGAGGGTAGATGAGAGTGTGGAGGATTCTGCCCATCCCTCCCTGTAACGCCCCGTCTCTTCCCAGACAAGAACTGGAACAAGTGCTTGGCGTCCGTCTGACTTAGTCCGCTCGCCTCCACCTCTCCTGCACCTTGTGGTACTTCGAACTGGACAGATGGTCGTCTGGAATCTCCTGTCCCCGCTGGGGCTGGGAGGGGCTCTCTGCTAGCTGCCTGTTGCTCTTGGAGCATTTTTTTTTTAAGGGAGGTCAAGGAGTGGGTGGATCACTCACCTCCAGGAAATATGCAAGGCGGAAAGTCTCTTTTCACAGCAGGCGCCGAGCTCCCCTCTCCCTAGACCCCCCGCCTGCCCTCTGTGCTTTGCGTCTGGGACACTAGGAAATTTTGTTTTACCTTCTACCTCTTAGCTCAGTCTCAGCAGCCTCCTTTGCAGTGCAGGTGAGGGCAGGGTTGCTGCCGCTGCTCACTTTTTAACCAAAGCTTTTGTCCATTCCAAACCGCCAGCCCAGCTGGCCATTTAGTCTTTGCACTATCTCTTTTTTTTTGGGGGGGGGAGCAGGTTTTCTCTTATTATAATGTTGTGGGGGGGTTTTGTACAGAGAAAAAATTGTTAAACGTGTGGTTTTTGTCCCCCTCCGATTTAAGACACCCAATGTTGTGCGGGAAGGGGTTTTGCTCAGGCCTTTGCGCTCTCCTGTTTTTGACAATCAGTTGCTGTTCGTTGGCTCTCCAATGCGAGCAAGGTTGCTTCAGAAGGCGGGGGACCAGTTTTGTTTTGTTTTTGCAGGCCCCACTTAGCACTGTAGAAAACATTCCCTGGGCCATCCGCCAAGGGGGGGGGGGATAAGGGTGACCTCTGCCTCCACCTTCTTGGTCTTCTCAAGTGCCTTTGCTTCCCCAAGCTCCTCACCCCCTCAGCACTTAAATTTGAAAGATGCCCTTTCTGTGGGGGAGGGGTCCTCCTTTTGAGATGTACAGCTGGCACTGGGGGAATGTTCCAGTGATGAGTGATGATGTTGTGATCAGTTTCCATGTTGAATGTTTTCTAATAAAAAAACCCGTTCTCAAGCAGCGGCTTGTCCAGAGTCAGATGATTTTGTCTAGCAACAAGGAAGCCGAGGATTAGAGGTGTGCAAAAAAAAAAAAATCAGTAAAATTCGGATTCGGATATATTGAACCCAAATTTTTTTGGGATTCTCCAAAAAAACAGAATACCTATACCGGTAAAGCATAGATATCAAAATATTTTCAGAATTTCCCAAAAATTCGGGTCCATTATATCCAATGGCAAAAATCCTCTGGAAAGTTTGCAGGGAGCTGGGGGGGAGGGGGTTTGAGGTAGAGGCTCCATATTTGGCCTGTGGCTGCTCCAGCCTTTCCCCAAAAGTTTGGAGAAGATTGGACCAGAGGGTCCAATTCCAGGGGCATCCAAAGAGGGTGCTCCCAGTTCTCCATTGTTTCCTATGGGAAATTGGGGGTGGGGAAAAGGCAGGCAGATCTCCCTGTAAAAAACTAAGTGAGGTGTGGGGGTGGTGTTTGTCAGGCCCAGCAGCAGAACAAGAGCAATCTCCCTCCCCCACCTGTGCCAGTCAGTGCCCCAAACCAACAGAACTTAGTTCAAACCAGAGAATCTCTGCAGCAGCAGCCTACATAGACTGAGGGCGCATGTTTGCATTGCCACTAGCCAGGCCCAGCAACAGAACCAGAGCAATCTCCCCCCCCCACACACACACACACAACCTGTGCCAGTCAGTGCCCAAAGGATCCAGGAACAGCACAGCAGCAATGGCATCAGCCACCTGAGACTGTCTCCTTTCATGCTCTCTGGGCATACACAGAAGAGTTTCAAAAAGAAACACCTTCTGTGATTGGCCAGAGAGCAGGAAAAGAGCAAGCTAGTGGTTGGGCAGCCTTGCTGTCTGAAGTTCCCTCTTTCCCCCTCCCTCCTGGAAACAGGAGCAAGAGGCAGGGAAGAGGGGAAAACTGGGTTTCCTGGTTCCTTTAACTATTAACACACACACACACCCCAGTGGCCATTTTCGGCTTTCAGAACAGGCTCAGGGAAACCTGTTGGGCATCCGGAAAATCCCAAAAAGAATTTTTTCGGGATTTTTTTCTGCTCGGAATTCCCGAATGCACACCCCTACCGAGGGTCTGTTCCAAATCTACCACTTGGAAACAATGCCTTATGGAAGTGTGACTTGCATTCGGTTGCCACTAGGAGGTCTTACAGATAGTTGGCGAGAGAACGTGAATATTAGCCAGGTGCCCCTCCTGTCCCATTCACCAGAACTTCATTTCTCTCCCTACAAAGAAATCTGTAACAGGAACTGTAGCCTAGAATTAGTATTTTTTTCATCAGACCGTTAATGGCGGCATTATCCCACCTGTGGGGAAAAAAGCCTATCTTTCAGGACAAGTTCATTAGCCAACCCCAAATGACTTTCAGGTGCTTGCAAAGACCAATTTGGTATAGTGGTTAAGTGCACGGACTCTAATCTGGAGAACCAGGTTTGATTCCCCACTCCTCCACTTGTACCTGCTGGATGACCTTGGGCAAGCCATAGTTCTCTCAAAGCTGTTCTCTCAAGGACAGTTCTGGAAAGAGCTCTCTCAGCCCTGCCTACCTCACAGGGTGTCTGTTGTGGGGAGGGGAAGGGAAAGGAGATTGTAAGCCACTCTGAGACTCCAAGTGAAGGGCGGGGAATAAATCCAATCTCTTTTTCTTCTGTGCCTGGCTGCTGAGGTCAGCTCCGCCCATTAGCCTGGCCTGAACCTTAGGCTGCAGTGCAATCCATTCTGAAAACTAGGTGTTTTAAGGCATGACGTGTCCTCTCCCCTTCACTTTCTGTAAGACTCAGGACTGTTAACACTCAGCTTTATTATCGGAAAAAGGACATCGGGGTAAATAAGTAGCAGGGAATTAACAGCAAAACATGCCTCCCATGTGTAAGAAAGAGCAGATGCCACACGGATGAACTTTTACTTCCAGAGTTTCTTGATGGACATATTCTTCTCGCTGTCTTTTTGCATCACCTGTGCAAGGAGAAAATACTGTCATTTAAACAGAAGAGGCAGGGAGAGAAACTGGCTGTCATAGAGCTACCTGCGTAATATGGGCTGCTTTGTCATTTCTGAAGGCTGGTCTTTGCCACCTGATGCCCTGCAGCCTTAAGACTGAGCTACCCAGGGCTCCAGCAAAGCAGACCTCACACTTCTGCCATACTGCTCCCAGCTAGTCCTATGCCAAATTTCCCACTAGAAGATTTCCTTGCTTTAAAGCTCCTTGGAACCACAAAACGGAGGTGAGGTCACACCCTCTAGATCGGGGGTCCCCGACATGGCGCCTGCAGGAAGTGGGTGGGGCTGGGTAGGGCTTTTGCCCAGCAGGGGCTTCTTTTTAAATGTTGCTTTGGCAACAGCTGCTGCCACAGCCGAAGGATCCACACTGTGTTCCTGAACTTAAGCGGCAGCAAATCATTTTGTGGATGGCCCCGCCTCCTGCAGCTGCCATCTTGTTGACATGCCCGCAGGCTCAAGGCTGGGGGATCCCTGCTCTACGTCCGGGGTTTTCGTTTTTCTCCCTCCTTCCACTCCCAGGAGCAGGTTCCCACGTCCACAGCCGGCTGTACCTTTGCAACTGCCATTTCAAAGTCTTCTTGCGTGACGTGTACCCGCCTTTCCCTCAGGGCGTACATTCCTGCTTCCGTGCACACTCCCTGCAACACACGTCTGTAAGAAACCCACTCGAGCCATCCCACAAAGATCCAAAGAATGTACCAGCCTCTGCGTCAGAAGTCTGAA